TAATTTTTCCCCTCAAAAGAAACACTTGGATCAAAAAATCGGCGTTAAGTACCATCAATGATTTCTAAGTTTTGACAAAATTATGGCCGGCACTTCCGAATTAGATTCTGTGTAAGCGGTGGAGTCTTTGGCATAATGCAAATTGGTTCGGAGCTGCTTCGGCGTTTGGGCATCCGTACTCTGATATAGATTTGAACCAGAAAAAGGCATACACTTTGAAAGCGAGTTAAATATTTTTGCTGTCCGTCTAAATTGTTCACGAAAGATGAACATCATCAGACTGTAAATTTATTTACCCATAAATCTTGCATGGGAAGTCGTACCGCAAGAGCGTAAACCACCACGGTCTTCTCGAAGGAACGTGAGCGTCAGTTGAAGCAGCTACTTTTATTCTGCGCGAATTTGTTCCATCTCCAAATGTTCCTGGCAACATTTTTTTCAATATTTCACATTCCTCCTTTCGTATTTTCGAACGTATGACGCGAATATATTAAAAATGGGTAGTTCGGTTCCAGAATGATTTAACTCGAAGACACTTCGATACAACCTGATAAATGTAATGGGACATGGGAATTGAATAAATTTATGGTCCAAATATTTTTGGAAAAAAAGCGATTGCACTTTTTTTGGACCTGTATTTGAGGAAGTGGTGTCGAAACTCATGCCACCAATTCGATTGATAAAGTTCCATTTGATCAATGAATCGCGAACAGTAGACGCAATATCATATCCCGTGCTAGGTTCTATAATAGCAGCATTCAGAAATTTTGACGATCCGTTATAGCTTACAAGGATTGCGAAGCGATCAAATTTTTGTGGCAACTATTGCTTCCATAAGTTTGTCATCCCTATGAAAGCCCACTGTTCATCTACGAATTATGTATAATGTGAAGCTAGTGAGTTTGGCAGATGATCGCTAATAACTAAAAGAATAATCTAAAAACAAGAAAATCTAACCTAATCGCCTTGGATACCCGCTAATACCAAATCACGATGCTTCTTTCGCAAATCCTTGAACAGAGGTCCGAATGCCCACTCCCAAAGCTTCTGCTGCTGCTATTAACATGTGTACTGCTTTTCCATCCGAAACCTTAGCATCGTCGAGGGAAGCGGAGAGACGCGGTATGACCCAATGCTTCTGCACTCTTTCTCTAATTTCCTAATCGTCATCGACATCCATAACCAAGTCCGAAGTTTTATCATCGACCCCATCATCGCATTCTAAATTCTATAACCACTTTTTAAAATTTCCACAGTGAAATCAAAAAGCATAATTGAAAAAACATAATTATATAACGTAAAAACGTTGACGTTATTATGTATTTACCACTAGCTTGTTGTGACGTTTTTAAGCGTTTCCACTTTCGAAACTCTTCCACTTCCTTTCGCGCTTGTGATCGTTTTTCTCGCGCTTACAAATTCATATCGACACTTCTCTCTTTGCTTCAACAACTCTTGCTTCTCTTCTCCAAAGCCAATATTTCTCAGAATGTCAGCGTGAGAAATATCGAGGAGGTAATCTAGTTTTTCTAGAAACTCAGCTTTTATATGTGGCGACATCATAGAAGAATATTTCCGAATTCGACTCCATACGTCGTACAACTTGATTAAATTTTTAGAGCATTTGTGCGATTCACGTACTGGCAAGCGTGCTTGTTGCCAAAAAGCGGAAGCTATACTCACTGCCAACTTCGCACTTTCTTTTAAAGTTAGTTTTGTGATCCGCATGTTGTAAAAAATACCCGTAAAACTTGCCGGTGGGATGATAACTTAGCACCCAGAATCTGATGGGAAATTCGTCCAACTAGATCAATATTATAAATATAATTCGAGAAGCTTCGGGTTGCAATTGAACAATTGTTCGATGCTGTTTCCGCGGTCGATGTTGAATTCTTACTTGTACCTACATTAGTGCTCGCGGTACAAAAAAATTCGTAATTTGACCAATAGCGCAAGCTAATAAGGACATATTATTTCTGGAACTTTGTCAATTTCTAACTGATTTTGCACTCTGATAGCTTTTTAGATAGGAAATTTCAATAGACACCAGACATATTAGTAAACTTAACTGTACTTCACGCAAAAAGGAAATTTTTTCCGGCCGGTGGTTTGAAATCGGAACAAATTTTATGAAATACATACAAACATTAAATATTTCTTGAAGAACAACAACTGCCGACAGCTCATCATGTGCACATGATGGGCGGGTCGAAAAAAGTTGATTTTCATGAAAATTTAAGCATTATAGAAAAATCAGTCCATAAACAACACAACAATCGACTTGTGAAGTGCGGAGTATCTGACTCCACTCCTATGGATGCTGACTCGGCGCAACATTATACCAGAACTCAGCAAAGGAGGAGTTAAGGTCGTTTCGTATGTAAATAATATGATGGTGAAAGCCCTTGGTCTCGTGAATCACCGAAAGTGTCCTCAGTGTCAATCCGAAAAAAGGAAGCTCTTTTTTACCAAAAAAAAAGCTACCAATGGAAGAACTCCATTCTCTGAGATTCTGGACGTTTCTTTCTTATCTAAACTACTTATGTAATATTGCTGACATCTTCCAAGTGGAAGTACTGGGGATTTAGAGGGGATGTAAAGCAATATTAAGATAAGCCAAATCGGTACAAAAAAAGGAACATTCCGATATAACCAAACCGCGGTTTTGTTACTGGCATAACCACATATCCATTTCAAGGTAGTAAAAGATAATTAGCTTCCCGCCAATACAACCGTATATGGTAAAGAAAAATTGCT